CCATCTGTGAGAACTTTGGGTCTACCCTAGAAAAATAATAAATATCCTCCTCTCATGGCTGGCGCTCGTTTTGTTCAAAAGGTGGTTTCAAGACCAAACAAAGGAAATTGTGTCATTAATGATATATATATTATGAACTAGGGCCTCTTAGAACAGTTTCCTACAAATGCATGGATAAGGGTCTGATCTCTTTCCTAACAAAGGATCTCTAAAATATGAAGTGAAAAGCTACCCAAGATGAAGCTGGTAAAGAAACAAGCGAGGAAGAGCCTATTTCCACAACACAAACAGATTTCCTGGCCTTTAGCAGTCTCTTACTGGGATACTTTGAGACATATCCATCAAAACACAGCTGTATTCATTCATATTTCATACCTCCTCCTTCTCCCAGTGCTTTAACACTGTTCTTTGATCAAAGGAGAGAAGTCGGATCACAACCGGAAGGTTCCCTGTCAGCCAAGAAGGAGAAGGAAGGCCAATCCACTATACTGTACATGCTATCATACAGTTTTCTGCACTTCAACTTCAGTCACAAAATAAAATGGAAAAAAAAGAAAATGAATCCCTTGCAAACGCAAAACTAAGAACACGAGAGAAATCTATGACTTTCCACCGATGAAATGCTTTTATATGAATTTCCACATTTTATAATGAGCTTGGTTTTCAGGCTCCACTTGTACAGCTCCACTGCAACATTGTACAAAATACTTTTTGGTATAAACACAAACTCCATCAGTCAGCGTGCAGGAAAATTAACAATTTTCCTGCAAAGCTAGAGATGATTGATTGAAGTCTTTGTTCGATTTAGGGGGAATAACAGTTTCTGCAAACTTAAGTGATGGAATTGCTGAGCGACCCGACAGCCAGGAGCAGATTCAAAACACGCAGCTCAAGAGTGTCACCATGTGGAGACGTGTGGATATGAAATAAACAGTGGGAGAGCAGACGCTTTACCTCAGAACGCAGCTCAATAAGAGCAGTCGCAGCTTCATTTCTTCTGTGACCAATTCCTTCGTTGTTTTTACATATTTTCTTCCAATAAAATTTCACGTCAACTGCTTTACATTAGGCCTTCTGTGTCCATCTTTACCTCACCTCCAACATATCAATTCCAAGATATAGCACTTCCAAAGAGCCTTTTCAGTAAGGCTCTGGGAGAAAAAGTGTTTGAAGACCTCCCTGACATTTAGACTCTCTCTGAAGATGACTTTGCCTTCTACTATAGCCTGCGGGAACATAGTAAGACCCACACTAAACTTCAATTGATATGCAGGGCCAGATTCCTCCAGGGGAAATTATCATTCTGTTCATAATAAGAGCCACAACAAGCACCTGGAAAATGACTTTATTATACACTCCGCTTCAATAAAAGTTTCCTATGACCCATCGGAAACACACACATGGTGCACGAAGCATAATCGCAATGAAATGAAAACTATATTATGCATATGATAGAATGCTTATTTGATGGTGGGCTGTGCGAGGATGCACATCTGCTCGGGCGTGCTTGATTGGCAGGTGTGTTAATGCAGTGCTGTAGCCTTGGATGGAGGTGCTCTGAGACCTCTTTTTCCTGAAGCCATTATCCAAATACAGTATGTTCTGTTTTTTAAAAACAAATGAATGGCACCAAAATCAAAGTATCAAAAATGTATTGCCCTTCATAATGGAATTCCCTCTGAGCAAGGACATGTAACAATGGGCCATTCTCAGCTTCCTGTGCTTTCCCTCTCTATATGCCAATGGATGTGACCTCCACAGCTCTAACAATGGGGCATCCAGCAGCACAAGCACTTGGCTTCTCGCCACAGTCACTACGTGCAGTAAGGTTGCTTTCATCTTTGTTGTTATATTTAAAGATGACATCCTAGCCTGTCGGCCTCTGCTATTGTCTTCACCGTGATTATTTTCTACCGTTGTTTAGCCCCAGTTGTGGCTCTTTGATGAAAAGGTCGCCACTCAATTGGAAAACAGTCATTAAAATGCGGTGGGTACTATTCACCAGTGTTCATGGGGGAACGAACTCAACTGAGCTGGTTAATCAAAAGTTAATTATATAATTTTCATGCAGATGAGGGGAACATTCAAATGAATCCCAACACTACAATCATTACAAAAAATAAATAAATAAATAATTCTAAAATGCTATAAAATGTTCAGGGACCAGGAGGCTGTAAACAATATGAAGTTTAATTTGAGGTAAACAAAGTGAATATCCACAAGGGGGTCCGGGAAGGAGAAAGTGAGGTTAAATCAAATTTGGAAACATAGATACCAGCAGGTTTTGTTGTCCTGATATACGTGCAATTAGGCAGGTCCTTGATGAGGACACTGGGACGGAGGAAGTTGGCTTTCACAGCAAATGCTTTGGGATTATTTAAAGGGAATTTATGGGATTTTATGCTTTGTCTGTAAACATTAATTATTCTCACACAAGTATACCAAATTGAATTAAAACCATATTTTAGGAAATGTTGTAAAAGCATAATTATCCTTTATGGGGATGCTGCAACATTATTGAATACTCCATAAAGATAAGGATAAATCAATTCAAGCAAGTCTCATAGTGACTCTCAGAAGAAAATGCCCGGGACAACATTTTATTCTGTAACTTTTCTGTAAGGTAAAAGGGAATGTAACGCTTAAAAAATGAAATCTTAGACTTCCTCATCAAAGGAAATGATTGTGTTATGCAAATTACAACCATGACTATTAAACCAACGATGTGAAGTATCACAAATGAACAAGCATTGTTCTGGAAGTGCAATGGAATGTGGTTTAATTTCTTTTTAATTCTATGTGCTTTTATAGTGTTCACCTTTTCCCAGTTGTGCCAGCGGGTTTGGGTTCATTGGCGTGCATTACAACCACGCTCTAACAATGCAGGGCCTCCACGGTGTCAGCACAGTTCATGAATCCTAGCCCCTTATGCACCAGGCGATTAGTATGGTGCTCTGTCTGTGGGGCTTTGCCAGAAAATGAGTTCTCTTTAAAACATATGCCCCCTGCTGATTCTTTTCCTTTCCTGATATGAAATTCCAATTTTTATAATGAACACCAATTTCCTGTTCGGATAGGAGGGGGTAGAAAAGTTTTACGCTCTCTCTGTTTTGGATGGCTGCAGTTATCCTAAATTTGCAGAAAAGCTGTTAAGGACATCACAAGCAGAACATATTTTGTCTCCTTCAGTTCGCGGAGGCTAATCAACATTCAGGTACGAACACAAAAATCAGCTGGTGTAATTTTCCACATCACATATGCACACGACTGGTGTGGCAGAAAATAGAATTACCAAAACTGTAGCAAATTCAATTAAGTCATTGATTTCTAATAAATTGGCCTAATCACCAGCTGTTGTCATGCTAAGATTGTTGTGTCACAAGTTTGTCATGCTTGTCGGTCGTGGCTGCTCTACAAAGGCAATTTTATCTATTTAACGGCTTTAAGATGGCGTTTTATATTTAATTAGCATACTAATAACCACGTCTACAAAGTGAGATCACAATATGATAATCTGATTGAACAAAACATTTCATCATTCCATCAGATTTCAAAAACTTTATTACAATTTCAGACATACATGTAATTGATCTGTGCAATAAATGTGATGATTAGTTGAAGCCGGTATCCTGCACTCGGGCGATCCATAACAGGTGTTGATGGAGATGCAAATACAGTCCTTTTCTTTTCCTTCTGTTTTTTTGTGTGGCTCTTCAATTATTTGGGAACTTTCTCTTTCGCTCAAAATGACTGTAATCATCATTATTCTGAAGAGATTGAAATTAAATCTCAGTAAACAGTTTGATCTGCTGCTTGAATATTTTATATAACAAAATGTATCAATCTTCATTCATATGTACAGCACTAAACCAAAACAATTTTGAGCAAATTAGCATCATCTGCCAACATTCAAAAAGATTAAATTAAGCATTCACACATTCACTCATGCAGAAAGGGAAAAATAAAAACAGTCATTGAGCAGTTTGTATATTGTCATTGCTGCTTTGGAACACAATGGTACCCAGTGGTGTAGCATACATTAATATTGTACAATTGAAGTAGACATTCGTGATAAATTATGTATAATAAGCACTTACTGCATTGTATGGTCTAAGTCTCTCTTGGGTCTGGGCACTCGCCTCTTCGGGAAGAGACACCACTCCTCCTGTACCCATCATCTAAGTACAATAAAATAGAGTTTTTAGTGGATGAAACCAAGATTGGTATGAAATCTAAACCCAACAGCATATTGTTGAAACACTGTGGAAAAGAAACAATTTTAGAGAAGTATTTCATTTTAGATTTTGCTTTATATTTCATAAAGACACCACGTATCCTCAAACCTTGGACTCCACGTATGAATAAAAATAAAATCACTCACCCTGATGGTTGCCTCCAGCTCTCCCACACTTCTCTTTCCACCTGGTAGCCACCCATAGGACCAGTGCTGGGACAGGGTGACCTGGACCACCAACACCAACAACAACACCTGCACCATCACTCTGCTGCTCGCTTCCATTAGAGCTGCAGAGGAAGCCAAATTTGTAATAAAAACAATAATGTCACAGCCTTCTCTCTCGCAGCTCCGCAGCTCGCAGGCCAGGGGTTATAAAGCATTGCAAACAGCATCTTAGACAGTAATTAATAAGGAGCAATTCTAACCAAATGAACATTGAACAAACTTCATTGAGGACTCACTCACCTCTGTATTTGCCTTGTTTGCATGTGGTGCATTAGCCAGAGGGGGATTTTTATAGGTGTTAGAAGACTGCTGTCAGGATTATAATCCCCTCTCTGCATGTGTGACACATTTACTGACTAATGGAACACAAAATACTACTAATGGAGCTGGCTAAGTGCTCGGATATGCTGGCATCACCATGAGGGTTCAAACGGCATGAAATATATATCATCATATATATCAACATTATTGTGTTTGTATCAAACGCATCCGAGCAGGGGCAGACAAAAAGACAACATTAAATTGAAACCTGTCATTTCTTTCCATCTATAATTTATTTGAATCAGCTTTTAGCAAACAAACAGTTCAAATCCATACAGATTCAAAAGGCAGAAACATCATTGAAACAAGATGTTTGTGCATTTATGTTACATCAGCTGGAAGGCCTCACTGCCATTGCCCTTATTTCTTCTTCTGTCAGCATGGCAAGACATTGAACTGAAATCAACAATGCAGTTCACATTGGAGATGATTAATGACCACAACATGAATTTATGTACAGTAAATAAACAAAGTGATTGTGTCATGTATAAACCCATTTTACGATTTAATGGAAGTGCAAACACAGTAGAAAGTTTTTTTCCACAAACTTAAGACTTCCAAGCTTACTGTTCTACAAAGAATTAAGCGGAAGCCTTGCAAAAATAGATGCTTTTGATTTTTTAGCAATGTGGGGTTTCCTTGTTTAAATATGAATATCAAAATGCCTGTGCATGCATATTTCATATTTTGGCTGAGCACTGGTTCTTGATATCAGTGCTTTTTACACTCCCAGAAAAGGTTCAACTGCATCTCTTATCAAGTCTTTTATTCAAACACACATTTCTGCAGGGTTTTTCTTCTCATTTTCTCATACATTTATTTGCAACAACTAATATTAATGTACATTTTGTTAGCCTAATATACCTTATAATATTCTAAGAAGAACAATGAATTGATGATCCATACAGGACACCACCATTCAAAAACAATGCACTTTTTTGTAAATGTGTATTATATTAAATTAAACACAAACATCTGGCTTATCTGTATTAAAATTGTGTCACTTGGTGACAAGTTTTTCATGATTAGAATTGTCTTTCTAATCAATATGGCACTGCTTTATGCAAACATGCAAGTGTGTAAAGTCTGCTTGCTAATGTGAATACAAATGGATGGAGGTGGTGCTTGGCTGTAAAACGCTTAAAAGAATGATACGTTCAGATGTAGTAATACATTTTTTTCTGCCTTCTCCAATGTGGGCTAATGTCATTTTGCAGCGTCAGGCGCCAATCCACTAAGTAATATTGCCACAGGCAACACAAGAAAGTTGATGAAGTTAAATACGATTGCAACAGGCAGCAGCTGTTAAGTTATTCACAGACAGAAGTGAGGACATTTGCAGCATCCAACAGAATGAAATGTATCTTGAGTTTTGTTGTTTTTGTTTCAGCTCAAAGTAGATCATAAATATGATTCAGATGTCACATGTCAGACAGGACCTACTGTTTCAGCAAAAGCAGTAATTATTTTAGCCTACTTATCAAACACACAATTTATTCTCCTCATATCGCTCAAAACATGTTCAGAGGGCAGCATAAAATATACGATTAATGTAAACCACAGTCATTGTGGCCAGTAAGAAAATAAAGCAGAAATAAGAAAGGAATGCATGGACTCTACAACACATTAGTGATGCTTTTCAGGTAGTGAGCAATACATAATATATATTTCTATACGCATTATTTATATTTGAACAATTCCTTTATTGACCTTAATAATGTTGCAACATATGCAAGTTGCTAAAACTTCCCCAACCCACCCATTAATAAACCACTATCATTTCTATTTCTCTGACATTGGGATACTTGAAGATCAAGCAATCCTAAAAGAGACAGACTCTCCTGGAGCACAGATGTTTTCAATTATATTACAGTATGTTACAATTATTTTTTTTGATCTGTAATCAAGTGCAAAATGTAAAAAGAGCTTGCTTTAGAAAACAACATTCAGAGGAAAAAAAAAAGAATAAATTTGACGCAACAGTATCTGACGTGTATTATTTAAAATTGGCGTAGTCCGAGAAAATGTCAACAAAATCCTGAACCACTCTGTAGCAGAAGTCGTATTGCTCCTGAAAGGGAAAGCAGAAGGGAAAGTGTTACTGTGCAGAAATGATTCCAAACACAAATGTGAATAAGCTGCACAGACGGTTTGATATTATCTTGTTTTCCACCTACCACAGTCTGAACCATGTGTGGTCTCTGCATGCGTAAACTCTTGACTGTCTGAAAAACGTCCAGGAGGCCTTCAGCTTTCACCCTCTCCAGAATGTTACTGAGGGCAATGAAGGTACCGGTCCGACCCGCACCAGCGCTGAAACATGAAGGACAACACTATCAGCAGCCACATAATGCCGACACTGGACAGCCTTGGAAAATGGTAGTAGGACAAAAACATTAAGAATTCAAACCGCTTCTCAGTTTCTTAACAATAATGCTGCAATGAAACTCTTTGCAGCACATCATTTTTCCAATTTGAATGAGAAAGTTTGCAAGAGAAAAGGTGACCTTTGTGTAATAGTCCTAATAATTATCCTCACTTAAAGAGAGGCTAATCCAAATGCTAACACTAATCAGTTTGGAAGCTCAGTGTTTGACTGAGTCAATGTTTACAATGACGGTGGGATGGAGAAAGAAAGACGGGGAGCGAGTGCGAGAGTGATGTGCGATTCGGAAGAGAAGTGTAGAGAGACGTTGGGGATTGCAGCGGGTTAGCCCCATTTCCCAGGGGCAGAGAAAAAGCTTTAAAAAGCCCTTCTTAGACAAGTGGTGATGAAGGAATAGAAGAGAGTGATGACACCATTTCCTGTCGTTAGCTCATCTTATCAGATTAATCATAGTGGGAGTCAGAGGAGATTTCACTTTGAGAGGTTTTAATTGACTGTGAATCAGTGGATTGGATCAATCCCACAGGGGCATGCTGCTTTAGAATCACTTCACCTGAAGCTAGGTTCTGATCAAAGCTTTCACAGCTAAGTCTTTATAAGGGATCACATAAGTGGTTTAGGCATAGAACACCAGGTCTACTGAGGCAAAATGTAGAATTTACTGAAACAGACAATTGTAGGAAAGAAAAAAAATGTATCTGTAAAAATGTAGTTCCGTCCAATATCGCAATGAGAGATTCAGGTTATCGGGTGATAAACGCATGGTGAAAATGAAAGGAGTTGAATTAACAGCATGAGTGGACAGGCAGATAATTTTCATCTGAGGATGCACATTACGTTGCAGAATTGTCAAACTGAAGTTCCTCACCTGCAGTGCACAATTATGGGACGGTTTCCAGACTGCTGCTGCTGCCTCTGCACAGCGGCAATAATGTCAATCATCCCTCTTCCCTCGGCTGGTATTCCGATCTCAGGCCATCCGTGGAAGTGGAAGTGTCGGACATGTTGTGACTGCTTTTCCTGGTGAGATGGAGAGCTCACTCGGTTATTTTAATGCAGCTAAAAATGGTGGATATAATGACATTTCATGAACTTTAAACTGACAGCACAACGAAAACAGGGAGGCAAAATATGTCAATTTAAAATTTCTATTTTACCGCTTTTAAATGTTATAATAAAACGTTACGCACTGGTCTGTATGTGAGCACCATGTCTTTGAGAGTGAAGGTTTCACACTGTGTGTCTCCAGTCAGCTCCACAGTATAATCTCCAAATGTTACACTGCCCTCTGATGGCCAATACTGGAAACACTTTTCCTGTTTGGAAAGGTCAGATGGAAATACAATTAGGCTTCATTTGACTGATTTATGTCCTATTCTTGTTTTTATATTTTCAGAGTGCACCACAAAAACAATACAAAACGATTAAATACACACACAGACTGTCAGGAATAAGAAATAAGTAAAATATGATTGTGAAATAACAGAAAAAAAAAAGATGGTTTAAATGTGCAACTCAAGCACCGTACTGTACCTGCTCCCTCTCTTTGAGTTCGGTGAGCATAACGATTGAATGACACCTCCACTCCCACACCATCCTCCAGAAGTCCTCCACTGTGTGAGACAGTGGGCCCTGGGTTGCGATAAAATAGTCCTTCTGCCTGTAGCCCTGCAGGGCAGATCATCCGGTAAACAACACATGCGAGTGCAGCAAACATAATATTTTGCCTTGTTTGTAAAGGAAACAATGAGCTTTATATATATTTCTATGGGAAATCTATACAGAAGGTCGTGAGGGATTGCTTACATCAATAAAGGAGGCATTGATGTAGTCGGTGAACTCCTGTCCTCTTCTCACTGAGAGTATTACTCGGTTGAAATCATCTGCAAAAGAAAAAAGGAAAATCAAACTTTCCACAAGTGATTCCTAATAAAATAAAAGTTTGAAGAGGCTGATGGAAATAAAAAAAACAGTGAAGTAAAACTTTAGCTGTGCTATTAAGGCCAAATACGCCAGAACCTATATCAGTTTTCACTGTAAAAACGTTGTAGCGAGGCTTTCCATTCCCTCTCTACTCCCTACTTTAAGCCATGATACAAGCCCTATTTAAATGCCATTGATCACACAGACATGATCTGAGTAGCCAGATATCTGTGTACGGCATCTATAAAATCACCAGCAGTGTGATGCTTTGATGTTACTTGGATGTGATGTATTATGAAAGTGTTCGGAGTAGTCCTTACACGGAATGATCTGAAGCACACGGTTCTTCTTCATGTTGGCAGGAAGGTTCCCAGTTCTCATGTTCTCCTTCATTATGCGGACGTTGGTCAGCTTCTGACGGGAGAGAAACACATTACATTACAGTCATTTAGCAGACGCTTTTATCCAAAGCGACTTACAATTCAGATTCTATCACTTTTATCCAAAGCGACTTAGAATTCAGATTCTATCACATTTCTACACCGTAGGCACAACTACGGGAGCAATTTTGGGGTTAAGTGTCTTGCTCAAGCCGAGCCGGGGATTGAACCGCCGACGCTCTGATTGAAAGACGGCCTGCTATCCACTTAACCACAGTCGCTCCAACACGAGTGGATTGACATGATCCAAAGGTTTGTTTTCATCAGTGCAGGGCGCCGTACAAGGCTAGTACATATGGTGAGACGGACAATATTTAATAAAACTAAAAAGACAGAGGATGGAAAAAACATTTTGCATTCGTGAAAAAGAAAAGGAAGAAGAATAACAAGAAGAAGAGGCAGAAGATGAAGAAGAATAACAAGAAGAGGCAAAAGAAAGGCAATAGGTAATAATCCCATTTAGTGTGTAGGGAACTGTGAGTAGCAAAAATGAGAATGGTACATCCTATCAAGTTTTGCTTGATTCAAAGCTTTGTGTTTTATGTTACTACTGGCAAGAGTAGCACCCTGGGCAGGTTTTTCATGAAAATATACCTATGCAGAGGACAGGGTGATGGGGACTATTAATTACTGACTGAAATGTTCCAAGAGTGAGCGTCTGTCTTCCTACCCTGAACTCCTCTTCCAGGCCCAGCCTGTCGTGGGGAGCTCTGGTGTTGTGAAGCCTCTGCAGATGGCCCTCCAGAGAGCACACATCTAGCTCTGTGTCTCCATACAGATAGTACTCCAACAGAGCCTGGTAGATGAAGGAGTACTGCATCTGAGGGGGAAGACGGGAGGAAGTCAAGGAGACGAGGAGGTAGAAGTAGTAGTTTTAGTTTGCCAAACTATTTCCTTCTATTTTTGTATATCACAGACGTGGTTGTTTTTCCACTTCCTCGCCTGTTTCTGCCACGACTTGAGCAGCGAGTTGAGCTGTCAGTCCAAGGTACAACAGGTCGGAGAGGGTCAACACTTACATCTGTCTGTGTGAGCTGACAGCGCTGTTCCCGTATTCTGCTCACAGAGCCGAAGACATCCACCCTCTGTTCCATGTGCATCATGTCGATCATGCTGTCAATGACAATGAATGTCCCCGTCCTGCCCACCCCGGCACTGTGGAAACACAGACAAGAAGAAGGCACAAGGTGTTCTCTGTAACAAAGTGTAGCTACAGAATAAAAACTCAATAGCACGTTGTATCCTTATTGTACAAATAGAACCACAGCAATAATATAACACAATACAGAATAATGGACAATGATGTATTAATACAAAAACTCTTTTGCATTCTTGTTTGTACATTGCCATGCTATCCCTTTCTTCTTAACATAGATGTCAATTGTGGACAGCCTCAAGCATGTGTAAAAGTGCTTCACCTCTGAAGCCCAAAAAACACTCCTAATAGATTTACAAGGGTAATTTCAGCAAACGGCACCACTGGGAGCAGAGCTGGGATTCCACAGCGGGGTGTTGAAGCCTCCTCAATGGGCCCCATTCAAGAACAACAGTCCCTGAGCACCTGTTGCAGCAGTTGCTTCAATCGGCTGCTGATTTCTTTGGTGAGGCTTCACACTGATTGGCCTGACAAACATATGCCAGACCATATTTATTGATGCTCCACAATTGACCGACACGAAAGTTCATCTCCAACATAACAGAACTTTATGAAATAATAAAAAAGGTCACTATTAACATAACACGATGATATTATAAAGAAGTTAACCTTTACCTCTTATTCCACAAAAAACAAAAAGAAGCGCTGTTAAGAACTGTTGATTTTTTCACATACCATATTTTAGTTTTGCTCATAGACTTATTGCAAAACAGGATATTCATCATTCAAAACGTGTTTTCTTCTCCTTAATAATGACTTGAATCAACTCTCATGCTATTATAGCTCGTCTTTTCGGCTGGCTTCTGTTATAGTACACATTTTACCTGCAGTGCACAACAATGGGTCCAGCATAGGATGGATTGACAGCCTTGACCTTCTTGAGGAATTTCAGCATGCCGATGGGTGAGAATGGCACCCCGAAGTCCGGCCAGCTAGTGAAGTGGAGCTGGGTGACCAGCCGCGGAGCTCGGGGACCATCGCTGCCCTGCTGTGAAGCACAGACACACACAAAGTTAAAACCTGTTCATGAATAATGTTCCTTGTGCAGACCAGATCAGTCTACAAAATACTTTTACCTCCTGGAAAAGAAACTTCACATTAACTGAAACATTTGAAAAAATAAAATTGTCATTTTTCTACTTGTGACAGAATAGGATTGTTAAACATGTGTACTGGTTTGCCTCGCTCTCGTGTCTCGTGAATGCTCCCACAAGAGAACGTTATTCTCCTGAAAATGTGGTTGTTCTGTGTTCAGAGAGCTGAATGTAAAGGCACCCCGTCTGTTCAGCTTGTACTGCAGCGCTACGGCACAGTTTTCACAGTCAGAGAGGATGTCTGCACTTCTCTGGCTTCAAATGGAAAGGGGAACAAAGTGAATTTTGCAATCTGAAGGCTTCTTGGTACACCGAGATGGCACTCGGCAGTCAAAAAACACAGGATGAGAAATACAGATACTGTGAGTGTATGAAGCTCTAAAGATGAGACATTTGTACAGTGTTTACGCCAAGTTAAATACACCTCTATATTGATAATTTCCTGCAGTCTATTGCATATATCCTTTAATATTCCTTAATGTGTTTCCATACTGGTTTTCATTTCTGTATTCTATTTTGCATCCTATTATATCTTTCCAAAATGTCTCCGCAGGGAACATACTTTTTTACACCATCTCAATGCTACTTTGTTTCATGTTTAATTTTTAATAAGAATCTAGCTATTATGATTATAGAGTTTTATAGCAATTAACAAGTATATTAAGAGCAATATTGAAAAAGCACACTATTATTTTCAGTGGGCGATAAAAGCATTATTTCTCAGCTCGTCTTTGTGATAAATGTTTCCTAATTCCTGCCGTACAGTATAATTACATTTCTTCTGATGTGCTGTGAGATAAATGATGCATTCTCATTAACATTCTGATATGTAGATCCACATATTTTACTTACATATTGAACACAAAATTTTCTGATGGTGTAGTCCACCAGTACAGTGAAGTCCTCCATCGCCACCCTGATGTTCCCGTACATCCAGCAGCCTTTTTCTGGCCAATACTGGTAACATTTGTCCTTGTAAGAGAATCAAAACAATAAAGAAATTGATGTCTATATAAAGAACACACGTTGGTATTGTCATTGTAACTCACAAATCAAATGGTTGTAAATCACCTTCTATTGTGTATATCGTATAAGTGCCCGTATAGAAGTATTTCACAATCCAATCCAAAGGCAATCACAGAGACTTTGTGCGACTCTGTCAGTCAATAAGATCTTCACGGTGACGTTTCAACTCATTAACTCGATTCTCAAACTAATTATCATGAAGCCTCTTAGGATCTTATCAACAATTATTCCGCCATTGATCCCCAATGCCTCTATTCTGCCCTATCAAACCTGCAGTTGAGCTCTCAATTGATCATCCCTTTGAGGCTGTATTTGATCCGATGCTAAATAATCTGCTGGGTGACACTTTGTATAGATTATCAGTTGGGAGTAGGGTCAAACAAATTATGCCCGTGACTTTGGGTCATGAGAATACAAAGGGGTTTTAGTAATGGTGCACTGGAGCCATATAGATTGTATAGGTTCATTCTATAACACCCAGCCCTACTTTGTAACATTAGTGTGGAGTCAGAACACTCTTAGACAAACCTCTTTCCTTTCCTTCAGATTTGTCAGCATTACTATAGTTGCTGTTTTCTGTTCCCAAATCATCCGCCAGAAGTCGGCCACTGTTTCAAGCTTTGGGCCTGAAGCAGAATAAAGAAAATAGTCATAAGCTCGACTACTTGCATGTCCAAAATTGCTTTAGTACTAAACCAAGCTGAAATGTACATTTACCTTGAGCTGCAATGAATTTGTTCTTCTCTTTAAAACCCTGTGTAAAAAAAACACAGAGTATTAATAACAATGTATTAAGAAACCAATCATCTGCAATAAAAGCTTAATTTCAACTAAGACTCACATCAATGTAAGATGCGTTTATGTAGTCTGAACACAGATGTCCATCAAGATGACTTAACAACACTCTTGAATGATCATCTGTGGAAGAGAGAAGGAAAAAAAAAAAAAGTAAATGAAGTTGGTTTTCATTCAGCCCACATCACCTTTCCTTACGATTTAGAGATCAATACAACGGCAAGTCTAAAGGTTACATTAATATTGTCTGCTGCAGAATATAGATCCTCACTCACATGGTAAAATGTTTGGGTATCTGTTTTTCTCTCTGTTGTGCTCTCTGCTCGCCTCCTCAAAGGACCCGTGGTGGTAGTAACACGGCAGCGACTATAAAGAAAGAACCCCCAATCCTCATGAGATAAAAAATAAAGCCCCGGGTACACAGCCTTCTAACATAACATTTTATTACTCTTTTCTGTACTTGTTCTATGCTTGCAGGACAAAGATCTTAGTCAGACTGTAGAGCAAAGTCAACACCGCACAAACCCGTGCTTACATTGAACTCCTCTCTGAAGAGCTTGCCATCGTCAGCGGAGCGTATCCGGTACTCCTCCTCCAGCGAGTCCAGAGGGATGGGGAAGTACCTCTTGGATGGCGAGGGAGATCTGGGAAGGAGGACCACTGTCTGCTCTCCTGTGTTTAAAGGAATATATGGCGGTCAGAGAGCTAATGTTTCCCAATAGAGAACATTACAAGCTCTCATAGCACCTGCAAAAACAAGCCTGATGGCCATTAAGATTTCCTACTTTTGTGGGTACATGACAGAAATGATTTCTTGAGTCATAAACATGCCGCTGCTGCTGCTGCACATAACTGTCTAAACTCAGAATGTGGCCTTTCCGTTAATTTATTTATTTTCTACTTGAAGTGAAAGAATATACGGCTCCCTACGTGCTAGGAAAACGAAGGGCCTTCAAAACCTTTCCAGCTACCTTGGACTTCGGATCGTGAAACTTTCCTAGTCTATAAAGAATGTAAACCTACACTTAAACTAAAAAGAAATAAAAAGTTAAAGGCTGTATTATGTTTTCATGCACTGGTGGTTATATTGAGCACAGCACAACAGTACCTTGTTCCTCCAAGAAGCCATTTGGAATCTTTTTATCCACCGAGGTAACTAGAGCTTTCCCGTGGTTTTTGAACCTGCAGTAATGACCGAGTGAGAAGCAGAGAAAGCAAAACCATCAAGAGAACATAAAGGGCAGATATCTGTATTGAAGAGGCAAAAAAAAAGGCCATCCCCTATGTCTAGAACAGAGCTTTTAAGTGCATAAGGTGAGTAAACAACAAATACCAAAACCAATTGCGGGAGGCAAAGCTGTTCCTCCTCACGTCGTCGACAGGAAAAGGAGGTCTGAGCTGGCTGGTCAGGGAATGAGTCTCTGTGACCTGACCTGACCTAGCTGTGTTTGTTTGCTGTCTTACTTGAGGTGCAGCTGTTTACCCATAAGCCACTGCTCACCGCTTGTTTCCAAACCACCCCCACCCGATACCCTGACCTGACGCACTCACTCTCATGCGCACACACGCTGAAAGGGAGAGGGCAAGAGAGAAAAGAGGAAGCAGAGACTCACTCTAAGACAAATAAGTCAATGTGTGTGTGTGTGTGTGTGCAGGTTTATTCACCTCAGACAGTAGATTGTCAGCAAGACAATGATGATAAGAAGCAGGGAAATGACCAGTGTTGACGGCAGCACATGAGCACCCTGATGGGTGGGGTTTCCTGGATAGAACACAGAGATCATAATAGTAAAAATATCACAATAGAGTCAGACAAATGGATAATATAAGGTATATAGTTTGATGTTTTGGGAAATACATATTTGTTTTTCTCTTGACATCTGTCCATTTAATATGATGCATGTTAATTATTGAGCTGTAGAGGTGCTGATAGATTTTCTACCTTTGGACGTTTCCACTCTTTGACTGAAGCTAACAGCTGCTCGCTGTAGCTTCAACAATCTTTTCATCTCTTTCATATTTTACATAACATGAAGTATTCCTTTAAAGCAAGACTATGTAAAAACAATGTAATGCTGACCACTGTAGCCACAATTGATCAAGAGTCAAAGTCGGTGAACTGCAATATATGTCTGAAATTTGCCTTAGCTACTGTATAAGGTAAAGCAGCAAAATATCAGAATGTATCAAAGTGTGCAACGATGTGATTTAATGCTAATAAATTCAACTTTTCCTGTGTTAATGGTATTCATTAATATTAATATTATCAAGTCATTTCAACAATTACCTGCAGTTTGGTTTTCATGAGATGAATTATTCACAGCAATAGAGATCCCAATCAGAAACAACACCATTGTCACTGTGGATACAAAAAGAAAGAAAACACAATAGTTACTGAAAACATGAAACCCTGTATTTCTCCACAAAGTCCACTAGAAGGCGCCTAACAACAGGAAATGCATCTGCAGCGTGATGAAGCATGCAGAGGGCATGAAAAGGAGAGCTCCGCTTTGATGAGGCTTGAGAGTGATGTCTGTCTCTCTGCTGAGCAGTTAAAGTCCTTGTGGGAAATCTGCTTGCAGTCTTGTCCTGCCAGGCTGACTTGAAAGAGCAGCAGCATATCAAATAACCCAATATTCAGACATCAAACCAGAGAGGAGGCTTTAACCCTCAGGTGACAGTAACCATATCCCCCGTGGACCCTGTGGATTTGACACTTGAGTTGAGCTCAACGTAGTATTTGTTGGAAGTCATCTCATTTTGCTGCGTTGTCTTTGATGTGCAGCACTGTGAAGACCGGCAAAGCATCCTGCACAGTGACAATAAGACATGCACGCTGCTCCTCAATGTAGTAGCTGTTTTTAAATACAGTGGACATACTGTTAATATGTTTTTTCCCCCCCAAGAGTAACAGTGATATTGATAAACAGGCTGAAACAGAGTGTAAAGATTAGCATATGTATACTGGTTATACAGTGTTGTTTCCTCTTTTACTGCAGCTTTTCTCCCTCCATCACACCGCCTCTCTTTCCCTCCCTCTGCAGTGAACTCTCATTTTATTCTAAACCACATTCTCCCTTTTCAGTTTTACTTTATTGCTGGAAGCTATTCGGGATTTATTTGGGGCAGAGCTCCGCGAGTGTGTTTCCAAAAGGAAAAAGATATGTCAAGTTACTCACAACTACACCAGAATTAAAACGATTCTGACACATTATCCTTGTGTCTTATTATCTCCAAAATGGAGCTGCCAATTTCTCCAAACTCGCATCCATTTCCCCCGTCCTCCAAATGAGAGGGTAAGAAATCAAAGAATAAATTGGGCAAAAGGGGCAAATCTGCCTAAATGGCTTTGATGGAATAAATGAGCGGCGCAAGAAGTGAGTGTCCTAATTTATCCTCTGTTCCGAGTCCCCTCCTCGTTATAGAGGCCACAAGACTGGATGGAATAATTCATTGTGTCAATTTAGTTCATCCAGAAATGGGTCATCTAGGGGCCTAATTTGTGATGTTTGAGAGAATTTCTTGCACATAACCCCAGGGGGCTTCATATAAGTATATCTCCAAAAGCTTCTGGAGAAAACGGAGCCGAATAATGCTCTAACAATGTGCTTAAAACAAAATTAATGTTGAAACTTATAAAGTATTATTGGGCATCAAATTAGGGGCTCTGTGTTTTGAACGTTATACAGTCTCTATCTCTGCAGTAATAGACAGTACAACACCGAGGACGCTGACATGCCTGCACACATACATTTACACAATGTTCAATCAGGGTGGCACCAGCTGGACAAAACTCAGTTTATTTAATGTATTTAATGTGCCCAGTCACATCTCTATTTTTACACTAATAATCATTGGACAAACAAATGTACACCCATGTAACATAGCTGTGTGCAACACACACACACACACACACATTGCCTTTTGTCTCTTCACATGTATGCATGCCGGCACATACGTCCCACAGCCAAAGGCTATGTGTTGCATATGCGCCGCACTCTGTTGGAGGAGCCAATTCTCTCCCCTGTGTTAACAAGCTGACAGTGTCGGCACCTGTTCCCCCCCTCTATCCCACTGGGCAAGTCACATTCACTCACGCAGACCCATCCTACAGCTCGATGCTGCAAGGCATGCTGTGCGTATGGGTCACTGCTCAGGTCGCTGCATATCCGTCATCTCCTGGCAGCTACAGTATGTACGGCGTTCAGCCAGGATACGAATGAACAGAAGGGAAATATAAAAAAAGTATCAAATGCACTGTCATTTCAAATGACTCTATTAACTGAAAAAAAGACAACTCGGATATAGACTGAATATTTTCCTGTATAAAGTAAAATATGACAGATACATTATGTATTGCAGTGTGGCCCTCTGACCAACAGAGGGAATTGATAACACAACTTGGAAAGGATGTTAAGCAGAGCATGGGAATGCACCAGTGTAGGTACTTATTCATGTATTTATGGAATGCACTTATTGGCACTTTATTTAAAAAAGCATTGGCCATAATAAACAACATTTAGCTCTTCAGGTAAGCCTTGAATTGTGTATGTTTTAGGTGATAAACCAGAAGTTGACTCTGACAGGACATGACCTACACTGTTGTATCTTATTAAAAAACGAAAAATCTGCATTATATCTTAATGAAACTTGCCAGGACTTATGACACATTTTTTTTATGGCTCATGCCATTTACAACACACTATTTATATATCTTAATTAGCATATGACATCATCTGACCCTGAAAGGATTTGCTGGAGAGACCCAATTTAAACAAGGAAAAAAAAGTGCTTTGCTATAATTGGCCTCGCCATCCCCACCAGCTATTTCATCATTCCAGATCCCTGCTTTCCTGTCTGTTTAATGAAATACTAACAACAAGGTGATAACTTCAACCTCCTGCACCTGCTTGACATAAATGTTCACAGGGAATCAAATTATACTGCATCAGTTGAGTTGGGAGTGCAGAAGCAAATCATCCCATCCATGCATGATGCAATGCTAACATTCCGAATGCATCACATGCCGGTTCAACCTTTAAGGGTAATGTTAATAATTTGAGCACGAATATGCACTATTCAACATCGATCCGCTTTGCTTTTGTGAACAGAGACGAGATGAAGATCGGCACAGTACTGTGCATTAAATGTGAAACAGCTGTAAAGAAACTTTACATGGTTCAAATTCCAAGACTCACAGCACCCTAAAGTGAATCTGGTCTGCTTCACTTCAACATCTCCCTCACCTCAGCTCTCACGTGAAAGCGAGATTCACAGAAAATAGACGTCAGAGACGGAAACACCAACTCCAGAAATGTTTCTTTTCCTTTTGCCAGACCTGCAGCGCGTCCACTCAGGTTTATCATGAATTCAAACCAAACTGTGCAGGGGAAGGTGATGTATTATCCATTTGCAACAAGAAACATAAAAATATAACGGACCCAGGTGAGACTTTATCCCCATGCTGTTTTTAAAATGACTGCACTTAACCTCAAATATGTGACCAGAACACAGATTTTCCTGAGCAATAACCCCCCAAAAAATCTGTTATATCAACGCAATACGTCAGAGTGGTGAGAAAATGTTTTTCTGTGAACATTTGTTCAGAATTATAAATACTGTATTAAAACATAATCATATGACTCCATGCTGACTTTCTGACCTTAATTAAACATGAATATAAATATATAATAATCATATAAATAATGGCATTTCTGCACACTTCACTTAGAACAATACAGTCTAGTTTCATACAAGCTTCTGATTTCTCAAATGCATAGCTACCAGAAAAAGTTAAATATCTTCAATAATGGTAGTTTTAAATATATATCTTATTAGATTCTAATAGATCCACTGGTAGTTACAGTGGCTTCAAGGTGATTTGTGTCATATTCCATCTCTGTTGATCCACGGAACGTTTTTAAGACCGCATACTGATTTCTGTACAATAAATTGCAGCCGTGTATTTGTGGGCAATCTATTTCAGCTTCCCAGCCGGAATCTCAATGAGTAGCTGGCTCAGCAATCTTTATATCTTATCCTGAAAAAATGTATGGATGAAATATGGAAAATGCAATGCATGGTGGGTTTTATAGTTTACAGTTAGGAGTTGATGCAGCTTCTATCTAACACCACATCTAGCCATTAGCAAAGCCAACAGATGAGTTATACAGTATGTCATCTTATCATTTTTAATGGTATTGTTTGTTGTGAATGTCGGTAAAATGATCTTGTGTGCACTTCCATTGACTACACAGTTCAACATGATGCTCAGCACAGTGCAACAAAACAAGACTAAGAGTCAACAGCCACGCTGAGGCTACGTTCAGGCACAGAAGTTATTTCAGCTAAAAGATAAATCCACACGCTAACATGGTCACAATGACAATGTTAACATGTTGATGTTTGGCAGCCGGTATAGTTTAAACGTGTACTTTGTTCCAGTGGTGGATGAACTGACCGACAGACAGACACCTGATCAAATGATGCACCATTGCATCACCACACCACATTAACCAACATTGCATGTTGGTTAATGTGTTTTAACCACAGTACTGTGGGTACTGGGATACGTTGCATAAGTAATCAAGCAGGAGCCTCACTGACCTGACCTTGCTAAAAGCTTACAGCTATTGAAATTCCCATTGATCTGAAAAATACATGCTTTCTACATTATTCAACATGTTCCATCAGTGACACTGTGTGGAGGACATTCATGGATATTTGACAGATGTAATGCTCATTGAACTATGATTTAAACCGGAACAATAGGACCAATATTGCTATTTGAGTAGGTTAAAATGTATAGTGAGACATAAAGAACACTGGTGAAATATGAATATCACTTAGACGGCAGGATGATAGTTTGCATCATAATAAAGGTAACGGATGTTCTCTTCACAGGGGTATCTCAAACAGAAACAAAATATATGAAATCATGTTTCAGATTCTTCACCAATCAATGCAGCCTCGAGAAGACAGGTCCACATTTTGTGCTTGGCACAAAAATGGATGGCATGTCTCGTACACAAAAAGATAAAAGATCTTTTTTTTCTGTTTCCAGGGAGAGGAGGAACAAAGGCAGAGAAAAAAAAAAAAAAAAAGTATTCCAGAAAAAGCCATTGTCAAGTGCCAAGGAAAAGGATGGGACGAGAGCACGAACACATGTCAGTAAAGGGTTGCAGCAGAGAGAAGAAAGATGACGGAGGAGATGAGACGAGAAGAGAGGAGAGAGGAAGTTGGAGCTGGAGGAGATTCTGGGTTTAGAGACAACAGCCATAATGGTAGACATCCAACATCCTACATATCACAATACTCCCTATAAAGAAGACATAATGCCAAACACTGGGAATGTATCTTTATCTCATCTTCTCAACCCTGTGTACATGACTCCGAACACAACATCTGCTGCATAGTTAAGGTCAAAGGAATCAATCTAGAAAGGAGACACTGTGATTATTAGATGATTTCCCATTAATGGATTGAATTTCAATTGACCTGGTTTGTGGTCAGATGGATTAATGAAAGACTTACACTTCCAAGCAAAGCCAGTGTGATCAGGTATCAGTTGACCCGTCGGTCCATAGCAGCCATGTGATCCCAGTTCCTTTCTTGGTTGGATTTATTGAGGTTTTCTACCCTCAGTCCTTCTCCTCCTCACATCCTCACATATCGATTACAGTGCTGGATGAAGAGATGACTGAGGTAGGTCGTTTTGAAAGCTTTCGATTGGGATCAAGCCACCGAGGATCATGGGAACCTGGGAAATTAAGCAAAAGGCAATAGAGAGTGATGGATAAAAGTTCAACCAATCCCAAATACAATTCTGCTTGTATCATTGTTGAGCCGGGAAAAAACGCAGATTTTCTGTGACTCACTATTTGGGGCCGACTCAAAGAAAAAGAGAAACCTTGTAATGCATGAATAGACAACATAAGTGGGATGAGTGGGAGTTTGCATCTGTGCACAGCATGTCTGAGAGAATGACTGCATTTAATCAACTGGGTGTGGACATACCATCATTTGTAATGTACATGCTGAATGTCGGTGTACTATTTACTGCAACATCCTCTGTTGCAACTTGCGGAGACCCACTGTTGCAAAGCAAAAACATTAACGAGCTATATAGCCAACCATGCAAAACTAATTCTTCCCAAATTAGTCTTCCCAGAATGTGTTTGTGGTGCACACGAGGAGCTTGCACACATGCACCACTTGCTTATAACAATTTAATTGTAAGAACCAGCTTTTAACTTAATAACAGTAACAGAAGAATGGTGTTCACAAACATTTTAGCCCAATTAAAGCTACCGCTCTACACGTTTCTACATATGTCCGTGAATACGCCTGTACAAGAAAAGCATTGCATAAAATATGTTGGATTTAATATTTCATTATTTACACAAAGACTTGACTGTGGTGTTATTCTATCGCCTTGCTCGAGTCTGAGACAGAAAGCGTGCCCCTGGTGCCCTTCACTCCTACTCTCCCAGAGTCCCACTGCCCGCAGGTGTGACACACAAAGCCATATTGTTAGCACTTGGCCGCTGAGACCCAGCGGAGTAGAAAGCAGAGGAGAAGAGGTGGATTAGTCACTAGACCCAGCTGGGCGAGCTTACTCAGTCTGAGCCGGGATGGGGAAAATGAATGAACAAGGTATGGAAAACACCTTGTTTCCCCGTACTGTGGGAGCTGTGCTCAACTTTTCCAAATGTTGCAAAGTCTTTGGCAAGAAAAACGTGTTTGCCATTAAAAAAAAAAACTTTAACCTAAAGACTATAAACCTGGTCAAAAGATCCATAAATTAGGCTTTAAAATATGCTTTTGCACTTCCATACATGTGGGGACTTGCAAAAAACAGGATTCAGCTTTTTTCAATTGTTAGAAAGAAAGCCAGGTTTCACTGTAATGAGCTCATGAATTTACCTACCCACCACAATACATTTAGCTGGTGAGTATACTTATTTTAGCTTAGTTTATGTACCTTTAATATGAATGCTTTACTGTTGGTATCACTTTAAAGGGTTAATTCTTAACTTTCATTAATGTCTAGTCTGTCTCACACATAACAAGGCACAGTTGAGCTTCCCCAAAATCTCAATGAAATGTGTGTTTCCACAACTATAGGCAACAGGAACATGGAGAAGGGTCAGTGCAGGTAAGGCACAACTGAACAGCTCACGAGAAAATCAAAGGACCAACAAAAACTGAACCGAACGCTAGGACTTAAATACAACTAATCTGACGAGAGAATGAAGTGCAGGCGGAGAGGAGGGGGGAGAAGCCCAGATGAGGAGAATGAGCTGACGAGGCAGGAGAAAGGAAATGGTGCTGATTGGACCTTTTCACAGCAGCCATTAGACATGTCACTGCAGCATAAACACAGGTGTAATTAATAACATTAATTATGGCCTGTTCCATTTAGGCCCTTGTGTTGTGAATGTTGGCTCACTGGAATGGCTGTGACAGACCATAAGAAGGGGACGATAATTATCTGATCAATTACACCTGTGTTTACGTTGCTATGACTGTGAAAAGGGCCTGGAGAGGGAGGGGGGGGGGGGGGGGGAGCTGATTGGCTGGGGAGAAATAATGAGGCTAATTCAGTGCAGGTGTGTCGGTGGGCAACAGAAGGGAAGGCAGAACAGAAAAGTCTAAAGGCATCTGGAGACAGTGTAGGATGGTGTTTCTCTTTATATTTTGAATCTCTTTTTTATCTTTGCCTTGAGTTTGAACCTGTAGTCATTCAGCGGTGATAAGCAAAACTAAATGTTTTAGAAAGTCTGTTTACTTGCCTGTGATTGAAAAAGGAAAGTTCCTAATTGATGCAGCAGAGGTATCCTAACTTTAAGTCCTTAGTGTGGGTCATGCAGGTCCAACACCATAGTGTAACTCTAAGAGCGTCTTTAAAGACGTGCTTGAAATGTTCCTTCAAGGTAACATGTCTCAAATATGGCAACGCATGATTGACCGGCAGAAATGATGCTGTTCTCTGGATGTGAGTACTTTTCAGCTCCCAGGTTGAACTCCATGCTAGTTGTAACACTGCAGGTTTAAGAAAAGTTTAGTTACCAAGCAGTGGTATGACAATTTTCATAAAAAATAGATAATGTGCTATACTGAAGTAACAATACGCTTAGAGGAATTCGGCTTGGCTTTTTGCATATATATATATATATATATATATATATATATATATATTCAGGTTAAAAAGCCTGAACTAATTGTTTAAAGTTATTTATTCTGTATTTCACTTGTGTAAAAGTCATTTGGGAGACTTTTATGAAACCACCCTCATCTTTTCAAACAGAGTATTGTTCTCCTTTCAGCCCTGCACAGTCGGTCCTAAGAAGAAGGAGACATGCTCACGGCATACGATTACTGCAGGCACAAGCGCTTCCTTTCTGTGCCGCTCTGCCCATTGACTAAGAGGGGAAACATGCAGGCCATTAAAGTTTTATGAGTGCAGTCATCACCCAGCACTCTGTGGTTCAATCATTAATTCATACCAAAACAGGCAGCAAGACACTAAGTACTGTAGCTAAGCACGGCTCTGAGGTAAAGTTCTATCTTTTGATTACATAACAAAGAATTAAATATAACTATTGTCTTTTTTTTTTTACGATATTTTAATTGTGATTTGCATAGACATTTGAAATGCATGCACAAATCGGATGGTGCTCTTCACACAACTCCTTATTTGATGACTTCAATGAATCTAGCTATTCATGCTATTCACATGCTGCATTCCTGATACATAAATCCATAAATATTGATGGCATCTACCCCAGAGGCGCGCGTGGTTTCCTGAGATGATAAATCCACAGTTTCATATGTAATGGGGTAAACTACTAGACCTCCAGAGAGCATAGATGCATGCAGTAACCTTCATTCAAAACACTCAACGTGTTGCGCAAGTTGAGGCTGCGTTTTGTCAGACAAGTTGGAAAATTTGATATCACACTAGTGCACAAGCTCAGATTGAGTTGAATATCTACAAATTTGTGTATTTGTTTCAATCTGCGAGTTTGCCGGCTGACAACTTGCTTGGACAACGAGACAAAATGCTGCTTTTTAGAGCATGAGATAAAGACATACCACGCTGAAAAACCTGACACAATTGTGTTCTTTTGCAATATGAAATACATTAAAAGACCCTTCTTAGCGCTCAAGATTTGCCACTTAGAGACTTCATATAACTTCCTACTCGCATGAACCTTACATTACTGGTCAACTGAGCATGTCAGATGCCGAGTCTCGGACACCCACGCTTAGAAATAAGTGGTTATTGCCGAGGGAAATAGCTGAGGAATATTATCTTTATGCCCTCGTATTAGAGGATGAGTAGAGTAATCGCCAACTCATGTTTGAGGACTTTGAAAATGACACTTCTGGGGCACAGTGTAGGTGAAACGGGGACAAAGATAATAATCATCGCAATTACAGCTTCACCACTCGTTCTACTGCAGCTCAACCAAGGGTAACAAGTTTGTCCCTGTCACTAGAGTTCAGTATAAGTGGAATGAAACCGAAATGTGAAACAAGCAAACAGTGCTACAGCAGTCCAATCATGACTGTTACGTATTTGAATATACAATGTAAACACATTGTTAGGTGTTATATTTTAAACTACCTTGAGGCTTCAGTCAGACTTTATGAAGCATCTCTTTGTGTTTTAGTGCAGCAGCACTTTCATTAAGATGAACAGTCACTTTCTTCCCTCTCTATCAGACAGAGTGACAACACAAGCACTTCCTCTTCTCACAGCGAGATACTCCACAAGTCATGGTATTCTTATGAAACACTGACCTGGCAGGACGAGCAGCTGAGCTTCAAATAGATGCTGTGCATTAGTGGGACACGATAAACCAGACTTGAGTCAGAGGTTACTGTAAATACAAGCAAGAAACTTTTGTGAAATTCGGTTTGTGATAATGCAGTGGACGTTTCTATTCAATAAAATGTGTTTGGGTGTACAGTAGTGCCTGAGGATTGTAACAGAGCACAGTCATTACCTCTCTTATCTTACATATGGTCAGTGCCCACATGCTGACAGTCCATAGAATTAAACACAATCCTCAGAACAACCTCTTGTTTCGGTGACAATGAGTAGAACGTGTGATGGACAAATGACGCAACAGTGACTAGTCAGACAGTTCAGATCAGGAGACTATGAAGGATAATTACCCAGGCACCTAATGGAAAATGTATTAGCCCAAATTAACCTCTGATAAGCCCACATGACTGAATGTTCTAGCCACAATAAAGGAGGGTAATCCAGATAATAAAATGTTGAAATATAAATCAGTTTGGATAAAAGCTTTCCCATACTGTACAAATCCTCTCTGGCTTAAATATTTCTGCATGAAGCATAAACTCTCCAAAAACATCTTCATCTGTGTGAGTGCACTTAGACATGAACAGGGAGAGAACGCTAAACAATTTAAATAGAAAACTCCATGGTAAAGCGTCCCTTGACTGCTTGTTTGAAATGCAGATACTGCTTTTAAGAGGGCATTATAAGACTTACACGTCAATGTCTCAGCTTTTAAAGCAGTCACTCACACACTGATATTAGCAGTTATCTTCCACCTCCACACCCTCAACTGCTCTTTCTCATTTCTCCTTTCAGCCCAGGTGTTCAACACTAATCTCTTACCTGATGACACCAGTGAAGCACTGAATAAGCTTTGATGACCGTCATGTGATAAAGCATCCCGGGTAACCTCTGAACTATCCCCCAAGCAGACGGACGTCATTTTATGAAAGATATCATGTTGACTCAGCAATGACAGCATCTTTTTACATGGGCTGTTGTCATATCAGTGTCCTGCATTCATCTGTCAAATGTGTCACAGTCACAGCTACGCTAAACCAGTTTAAAACACATCATTCTCACCTGAGGATATTGAAAAGTCCTCATGGAGAAATGAATGGTTAATTAGCATGTGTCTAACTATAGCTTGTGTATTGCCCAGGTGAAAAAGATGTGGGCGATGTAGCCCAAAATTCAGACCACGGATGAGCCATCTGAGGTAATTCTAAAATGAATGTCGGCTTTTATCAGGTCATTTAATCAGGGATGGAACTTAAGGTGAAGTTATTGAGAATGAGGTTATTGTAAATGACGAATATTTACGATTCATGTGTGAATGCATGGCACTTCCACCGTTTTCCCATACTGAAACCATTATGGCACCTTATTGTCCCCTAACGATCATACTTAGGTCAGAGTATATAAACTACTAACCAATTATAGCTATGAAAATTAACTTATTCCCGTCAATGACCAGATTCCTGTCATTCAGTCATTGTCATTAGTGCCACAATAAAAATGGTAGGAATGTGAGGGACTGAGAGAATGTATATTTTATTTTGAAGCCAAATATTTGACCTTAAATGCGGCCTTTGTTTCAAAATAAAATCAACTGACACATTGTTGAAGGGCTGCATCGTCCTAGTCAATTAGTTGAATAAGAGGGGGTCATTTTGGTCTTAGTCGACCAAGATCTGTTTAGTCCATTAGTGTTTTTTTTAATGTTTTTTTCATGCTGAATGAAACTTATGAGCACATCTCTGATAAACACAAGATTTAAAGTGGAGAAACTCGGTTTTATAGATCTTTTGATAAAATCAACTCGTGGATTAGACGACAAAATCGTGTGAATGTTAAAGGACTAAGAATGTCTTTGTTTGAAGACAGTAAGTTATATCAGAAAACAACCCATATTGTGGAAGCTATAGCATCCAGGATGCTTGTTGAGTAGGCACTGAACAGGCCTTTCCACTACGCTACATGTGTACTCGCACCTTTCCTGTCTAGACGAGTGAGAATGCTGCAAATCCAATGCGACCCTTCCCCATCAAATTTGATCGAAATTTCGAAACAAAATCAACAATTTCTCAGATGATTCCACATTGAAGGTAAACACAATTGGAAGAAGAGGAGATACTGCCACGATGGAGCATCCTGGTGGTCGCGGGGCGTGTGGATTTGCTCCACTAACCCATATTTACTGTAGTCCATGTTGTCTGTGTTCCGGAATGGCAGCGTAGACGGAATATAAATCCCCATTCCATGTGGCCTGCATACTGTTTCCCCATCTCTGGAGATGTGTGATAGCTGATGCATTCTCTGCTTTTTGCGAAATGCAGTGTTGTCTTATTACGAGAGCGATGCATGGAGGCTAATACACACCATCTACACCGAGTAGGCCTGCCGGGAGAGGTTTAAAAAAAACCAAAAAACAGCCAGAAAACAGGCGATGTTTACGCGTAAAAACGCAGAGGGTTTTCAGTTGTTTTTTTCCTCTTACCGTGGTACTCTGCGATGACCTCGCCTCACACGGCGCAGCGGCTGATGATGTCTGCGTGTGTCTCTTCCTGCACGGACCCGACGTCTGTCTCTCGCGTTACGTCCTTTGGAGAATAACGCAACAAAAAACATGAAGTTGTCGAATCATCTGACCGGAGACGAATAACGCGTCTATGTTTCCCTGATGATCATGTTTCCAGCAGTTATCTCCGAGGATGCGCTTCCCCCCCCCCTCGCCTGCCTGCCTGCCCACCCGCCTGTCTGAGCGGAGCCGTGTTATGGCAGCCGGAGTGGAGACTGGAGACCCTCCCTCCGGGCGCAAAGCAGTGTATCAGGTGGACACTCAGCATCCCTCACATTCCTGCATCACTGGACGATAAAAGGGCAGGCCTGTGCATAAAGTGCTCGTTTGTTCTTGTTTTTCCTCCCTTATGATAGCTTTAAGCTTGACATTTAAGCATGTGACGTTTGTTCAATACATTGAGCGATGCTTTAAGCTATAACATTCCTGCGGTGTTCTTCTGGGGGTTTCCATTACATACAAATTCACATTGACCTTATCAAACTTTAGTTTTTTTCTTTTTTGTGTTTTTTTGTGGGGGGGGTTATGTAATATGATGTTACAAACGTGCATGTTCTGTGGCCTATTTTTTGAAAAAGAGACTTTTGTTTATGTGTTTTTGTGTGTGTCTAGTAGCTCCATAGTCCAGGTGGATCATTTCATTTTAATTCATAAAAAAAGATACGATGTTGGTCAGAGTGCTTTAGGTCAGAACATCACAAAATCTCACAGACGACCTTTACAGTAAAATAAAAATAACTGGCTCAACGTTTTACTACTTTTGGACCGCACATGTTAGTAGAGCCATCTGCTGGCAATGCTGGACCCCTCATGCTGCCTTCATGTGCTCACTAAAAGTTGTAAATAAGATGAGCTAAAAGTAAAATAAAGTTATCTTCTCATGAACATTTTATGTTGAAATGCAAGGCAAAAAAAAATGTAAAATGTAATACTAAGAATCTGAAAGTTTGGTGTTGTAGGGGAGTAACATTTCTTATATCAAATGTTGTTAGCATTGTAACATCGTTTTTTTTTTTTTTTACATGGATTATACATAACTTGCATGTGTGTCTTTATTCTGCTTCTGTATTTCACAGCTCACGGATACAATCACATTTTGTTCCCATTAAAGAATTGTGCACAGCCTGTGCCATTTTCACGTGTGACTCATGAGTCAGACATATGAGCTCTGAAAGAAAACTTGAGGGCAGTTTTGTTAAAGGGCAGCTGTGCAAAGGCTCCTCTGTTCCCAGGATGTGCAGCCATACAGACAGATTATATGTCTGCAGGGCTGTTGAGTACCACAAATACATTCCCCTGCATTGTTAGAACATATGATAAACAAATTGTGCTTCTTATAAAGTATGTGGGATAATCCACTATGGCTTTTATTGACTTTCCAGAGACCATTTAGTATAACTGGGCTGTTTTTGCTGACCTCTTGTGGGAGCTATGTTAAATTCATGGAGTGATTCAATCAGAGGGGGATGTACTGCTGCCAAATAACAACCTTCAAGAGGTGGGACAAATCATTTACAAATTATTATGTAATGTTCCATTCATTTAAAATGTGTTTCAACATTGTGTTTGAACAGGGTTTTGTAGTTAAATGAACAATGAGAAATAGGTGCTGCAGATTAATCTACAAGCTTAACGGAAGTCATACATTTCATTTCTGTTTAAGAACATTTTTGAGTCTCGATTAAACACGTTGAAATGCCCACATGTAAACGTTGCTGGGAACACTTGAGTCCTGACATTGAAGAAAAACCCACAGAAGAGAGAATGGTATTCCTTCAGCAGGTTGTCCTTTCTCAACCGTCTTTCCAGTCGGACTGAATCATAACTCTATACACTGTGCTGGCCATGAGGACTGAGCAGTTCGGTAGTTATATTGTTACAATATTGTTGATTATTGAAATTCTAAAATAAGATTCAGACACAACAAAAATATAGTCAACCACAGTATGCGATTACTTTCACAGATGTATTTGCTGTTTAACTTCCCTGCAAGTTATGTAGGGATTTACAGAAACCTGTGAGGGATTACGTAATAACAGTATGAGTCTTAAATCTGCGCTAACACTAATCCTATACCAACAAGTAAAAAATGTGCACAGACTTTATTGCATTTATTATGCACACATTTCAACAACTCCTCAAAGTAGAAATAGTCTCAGACACATGTACTTGCCTATTTGAGAGTTGCAAACGTGGAGCGTGACTTCTCTTTAACAGCCTACTGTTTGTAGCAGAAATTTATGTCCATTTATTTCATTGCAAAGTGAACATTTAAAGGATTTATATGCATTTAAAGTAGTGTGTTTGCTTTTGTATTTACTTTTCTGAAGCACGTAGTCCAGCAGCACATACCACATTTCAGCTGGGGGCAGTGTTGCTCTATAAATACGCATAAACATACAACACTGTACACTGCTTAGTAATTCATAAAGGTTTGTGTGTGTGTGTGTGTGTGTGTATGTATAATGACTCAATCACTTACCTAATTTACAACCATCATAAAATTTCATTATTTTAGTTTCTCTCCAAACTGAAGTAAAAAAAGAGATCCAACCGTCATGCCCGGCTCTAATTTACCAAAATGCATTGTGAGTGAGTCATGTGGATTGCTCGCCCGGCTGAAGTTAATTGCCGTAGAAGAAACACTTATGCCTGCAGAAAAGGAGAAACAAAAAGTAAAGAAATGATCTCTCAAATGCAACATCTTCATGGAGCATCTTTGTTCCCATCAGTGTAGAAACAATGATTGTTTGAGGTTTAAATCATCAGTGCTTTGTGCGACATAAAAACATCAATTCCAATTGACAAGAAGCATTGGTGTATCAATACAAATATCAATAATATACTTTGCTTTGGTGCTCAGTGACTCCATACATTTCCCCAGATAATATTATATCTTAATGGTTTCTCAGTGAAACAGCCCTGATGTTTTCAGAGAAGGTCATTTCCTGGATGGACAATGAGGTACTATGTTATGGGTACATTCACTTCCTCAAGGCCCTGGAGACCTTTAGTGAGGAAAATGTTTCCTACCTGCATGTCAAACAGACCTCTGTCCACAAAAACAACCCAATCTGACCTTCATTTTATTACATGTGAGAGAGAGAATCCTTGAAGCAGATTTGAGTATTTAATAAGATGGTTTATATGTTCTTCATATTTACTACAATACAGTGATTGATTGCACCGATTTGATTTATTATTGGTTACCACAGAGCAGAAGTATCTTAACTGCGACCAATGAAAAAACACTACACATCTTAAACTGTGCCCTTGTACTTGAAGCATCCATAGCTTGGCACTAGCGGGTGTATCGTTGTGAAATAGGCCATGATGACAAGTTGTTCACTAGTGCCCCGCTGGCTGTGAGATAAATGTTTCTTTCTGTCCTGCCTGTTGGCTCTAATGCCAGACCGAGAGAAAAGATGCTGCTGTGAGCTTTATGACAAAATGTTTTATCCCCCATTAACCTTCACAGAGCGGGTATCAGGAGGGGATTTCAGGTGGAATAAAGCACCGGTGTCAATAAACAGGTGTGTCACTGAGCTCAAAGGAGATGACGGACTAGCATGAAGCGCCCTCCATCCTTCATTTCTCCTCTTTCTTTTGGGGTCATTCCTTAGCTGTGCTCTGACAGCAAACACTGATAAGAAAATGATTAAGTATCACAGACTCAACCACAATCCAATTCACGTTCCCGGTTGCTCTGCAGACTACAGAAAAAAAGCAGGAGCTTCTTTTCCGATCAGGAAGTTCTATTAGCTTTTTAATTACTCTTTATACAAGCCATATTGGTGTAAGGCCGTTTGACTTACATCCTGAAATCCATTTACAGTACATTGTGTTTCTATATGTTCCAGACACGAGCAAAGGATCGAAGATCTCAATGAGACCAATCAGGCTGAGCTCACCACTGTGTCTGAAATGGATCTGTATGAGTTCACGTACAGCAAGACACCAACTCTGTGGAAACAAGTCAAAAGGCAGTTTTAGTCCACAGGGATCAGCAATCAGCCGTGCAATTCCACCCGCGATGCTTCTGGGCACCCATGAAAATGTAAATGGCAGCTGCTGATCTGTAGATTGGGACCAATCTGCCGTCTCGTCAGGGCTCTTCATTAAAGTCGAGCACTGTCCATTAGAGCCATAATCCTCCTCACCCAGTGCCACACACGACCTTGATGTGTAACAGTATACACATCGTTTCAACAGCTCCTGAGTTCTCACAGAGGTACAGTTAATGTCAGAGGCATTTTGACTACTGGCATTTGTGGCTGAAAGAAACTGGATTTAAAGAGTTCTCTTAACTCTACAATCCCTTGTAGAGTTGTTAGTCACATTACAGCTAAACATAACCGCTGCCATGGCACAGTGTGACGTTTTTTCACTGTGTGATCATTCTTTGCTCACCATAGTAGCTCCTTAATTGAGCTGGATGCACAGCAATGATTTCACTTAGAGGGGATCATCAAGATTCAGACAAGCACCTGGTCTTTTATGCGCCTGTAGAAGGCTGGCAGGAAAAACGATTACCGGCCCCATTTGTTCTCTATAGACAGTTGTGACCTTTCCAATTGGCACATCCTCTTACCAATATGACGGCTTTTCTTTCCCAAAACCAGGAGTGATCTTGCATTTATTTTGCACATAAATTGTATATTTGCTTATTGCGAAGCTCAGAGCGAGAACATACTGTACAATCAGTGTGGCGCTGCTTATTAACTTTGGAGGTGTCAGTAGAAGTTTATAGTAGACCCATCATTGTACTCGTCTTTCAGCTCCACTCTCACAGTTCTCAGAAAAAAGGGCTCCATCGAGCAAAAGATTTCTATCGTTGCCTGTGCATTTGCTGAAACATGGTTTCGTTTAATGTCCAGTGTGGTGAACAAATAACAATAAGAGTTGTGGATTATTAACGTGAGAATGTGGGTTCAGTTTGACACGGATGTATGTGGCCAAATGAATAAATTGTAGCAAAAAACAGAAAATAAACATTTGTAATGTTATGGATGACCAACATATAAGCTATACGCAAAAAGACAAAAGTATTCCTTTAGAGCTCTCTGAGCAATATGAAAGCAGAAGAGAACTATTGGCATGTAAGATTTGGTTGCTGGACCGTTAACTCAAGCTGTAAGAAATACAAGACAAAACACACACATGGGAAATACAGAGCAGAATACACTTTTACAAATTAAATCTCCC